AATAAATATTACAAATAATTAAAGGCGTCCAAAGATAATAGAATAAATACATAGTTAAAACAATTCTAAAGACGAGAACAGGACGTATAATGCCATGTAAAAAGCTCTTTCCTATATCATTAAGTAATTATTAGTTGAATTTTTATTATTTTTGAATTTATTATACATGTTGAAATAACAAAATTGTTTTCAAAGTCCTGGTCAGTAGGTTGTCGAACATAATATCCAGATAATAACAATTCTTACTATCTATGTCACTATCCTTTTTGCCAACATCCCAACAGGATTACTGGCTACCACAATTTCAGATAATTGGGACAACATTACTTCCAATACTTCGTGTACCCTAGACCTATTTTATCGAACTTCTGCAATTTATGTTAATTCAGGATTCACTCAATATGAAGACAAATTTTACAGCCAGGTATTCGGAGTAGATAAGTAGGTGCTCTTTAGCAGAACTGGTTCTAAATAGGTTACTTGAGGAAACTTCCTTAGAACCTTCCCTTCTTTTACAAGTACGTTGACGATTGTCTAAATTCATTTATCTTCTAAAGTAATATTAATTCTATGGTAGTATTTTTGTGGTAAATTTACATTTCTTAATTTGAATGTGAATTGTAAATGTAAAACTTCGAGGGGTTTTCTTCAGATAATTTCATTGTTGGTACAGGTTCTTCAAGATTAGAGTGTATAGTAACTAAATCGTCATTGTCATTGTTTGGTTCAACTAACTGTGATAATTGAGCCAGAGGGTCATCGGCTTCTTCGTGGGATATAAAATTTAAGTTTTGATCTGAATATAGTGATTCTATCTCAGGATCGTCGTCTTCCCCAAGGGCGTTTGTTTCCAAACGTGAAAGTGTGTCTGCTACACGATTTTATACTTCTTAAATAGGTTTAATTTTGAAACTGCATTCATAGAGTTTAATTTTCCATCGGGCTAATGCTAAAGGGTTTTTTTAAAATTTTGCAATCATACTAAAGGTGTGTGATCTATGAATAGGGTTAACCTTCTACTATAAATATAGGGTCTAAAATTATTTCTTTATTTTACTACAGCTAGTAATTCTTTTTCTGCAGTACTGTAATTTCCTTCAGCTGAGTAAGGGTGCGCTAATAGAATGGGATGAGCTTCCTACGAAATTGCAGAATCTATCGCTTTATTGCTAGCATCGGTGGTAATAGAAAAATGTTTCTTAAAATCAAGATAAGTTGAGACAAGGGCATTTATGATTAGTTTATGTTTGTTGATGGCTTCTACTTATGCGGGATCTTTAACATTAATTGAAGCGGTTTCTTTAAGTATCTCGTGAGAGGGTTTACAATTTTGGAATAACTTATAAATGTACGGTAATAGCCGCTTAATCCTCAAAATGATTTCAGGTCCTTTAATGTTTTTGCAATTGAAAATTTATTGATGGAAGCAATTTTATCGAGAGTTGGTTTTATTCTTTCGGTTGCGATTACCTGACCTTTCCTCAAAAATTTGGATTTGTGTGAAGATACTTTAAAATTCAGGCCTTATTTTTTAAAAAACTTATTTTATATGAATATGTTCTTGTGGTGATTTTGAAAGTATGACAATGTCGTCAATATAGACAAAAGTAAATTTATATAAAAAGTCTCACAGTACGCTGTCCATCATAAGTTGAAATGTAGCGAGTATGTTTTTTAGGACCAACGGCATGCATACATACTCGTAATAACCGTTGTCAATAGAAAAAGTGGTTTCTTCAGTACTGTCGTTGTGGAGGAATTTGTAGAAAGCCGGAAGATAAGTCTAAAGTAGAGTAGTAAGAATATTTTCTCAATGAGCCTAAAACGTCCTCAATTAGTTGTATAGGGTATTTGTATGTCTTTTTTTTTAAGTTCACGAAAATCGTAAAACCATGTGCCGTTTTTTTCTTTCCCGAAGCATCTATCTTTTTTCCAAGCAGGGTAAGCGAAAGGGAAAATACGTGAGTAGTAGTAATACTATGGCGGTCCTGGGACTCAGGATTGTCTGTCCATCCAGTTTTGACCATCATCCAGTTCTTAGGCGCCTTTGGAGGTCATTCGTCAGTTGGAGAAGGTCATTCTTTGGCTGTAGACTAAAAAGAAGGTCATTCTTCAGCTAGGCCGAAGAATACACACACACACATACACACATTCTCAGGAAGCACCCCCCATCTATCGTAGACGTCGCTGTTGTTGCAGTTATGGGTGGTTGCATGGGATGTTTATTGAGCATGTGCGTTTTGTGCGTGTATGTGTCTTTTTTTGTGTATGTGTAATTTTTGAGTGTATGTGTATTGTGTGTTGTCTATGTGTGTCTGTATTGTATTTTGTGTATTTGTGTGTTGGAGGAGGATGAATGGATGATGGTTAGGTGACGATGATTATGACGTAGACAATTTTTTTGGTGGACCACCGACTCGGCCCGCTTGATCGATGCCTAAAAGTGGTTGATACAACGAGTGGTGTGTGTGCGTATGTACGAGTGTACCATGTCGCCCGTAGCTGGCAAGATCCGCAGCCGCCGTCGGCTTTGAACCTCGTGACATGCATGACATAGTAGTAGTAGTAGTGGTACGTAACAAAGATGTATACGTATAGTTGAATGGTGTGTTAGGTGGTACGTATGTACATTTTACACATACATACATACACACACACATACGTACATATATACAGCTGCTAGCAACGCATCCGTCGGCTTTGAATCATACGTAACATCCATGTATACTTATGCTAGGTGGTATGTATGTACATTTTAAACATACATACATACACACACATATTTGCAGCTGCTAGCATCGCAGTTGTCGGCTTTGAATCATTCGTAGCGTGCATGTATACGTACGCTAGGTGGTATGTATGTACATTTTACACATACATACGTACACACATACAGCTGCTTGTACCGCAAACATCGGCTTTGAATCTCGTAGTATACATGTATGTATACGTATAGTTGAATGGTATTCTAGATGGTGCTTACGTACGTATAGTTCGAACCATCAGTGTTTGCTGTTGTTGGTACATTTTGCACATACATACATGCATACACATACACATACGTTCACTCGTGCATACACATGAGAAGCTTATTTAATTGTCGTCATGTTGTTGTTTTAGTCGCTTTTACTGTTTGTGGATATTTAGAAAAAATGGAATTATTTAAATGAAACATAACAGTCGTTCCACACTGTAGGTAGGTAGGTAGGTAATAATATTGGTCGGTGATGACGGATGATACTGTAGCTGTGTGCTGCTACGCTGTCTGGTCTTACAAAAATTCTAGGTACGCACAGTTCGAACCACCAATGGTTTTTATTCTCAGTCTAATAAGCCACGAACTTGCCCTCCGCTCGTCGTTCCAAGCCTGGTAAATGATATCCGTTCAATACTGTACATGCTTACTACGTTGCGTCGCTCGTCACTTATGAGAGCGAACGGTCTCCTGGTCGCATATTATTATTGTTATTATACTTCGTCTGTCATCGACGACAATCGTTTTTCTAACCATTATACGTTTATTTAGAATAAACACAAAATGCCTCTATCTCTGCCCTTTTTCTTTAATGAATAAGTTAATAAATATAAACTTAAAAAGTTACATATACCTGCATAGTCTTTTATTTTAAATTAGTAAATTGCACTCGCAAGTATTCGTTTTATACATACATTTTTACTATTTATAATACATAGTACATACAAATTCTATGCAGTGGAAATAATTTCCTAATATAAACGAATATTATTTTGCAATTAGGTCTACAATAGTTCGAGCCCCCAATTGTTGATATAGTATTTTTTTTATTACGGAAAAAAGAATTGTTATTATTATTATTGTTATTCAACAGGTGCTTGTATATATGAATACAATTCGACAGTGAATACATCACTTTTTGGTTATTTTTTACGTGATTCATACAAAAGGCTGGACTTTTTTCTAACTATAATACTACAACCTTCACTTAAATCGATTACGTTTGCATTAGGCAAATAAATTTTTACAAATGAGTATTTTTGATTTCCTTTTACATATATTACACTAGAATATGATAAATAGCATTCTAGAAAAGATGGGATTTGACTCAAGGCTACATTACCATCGTTGAATTTAATTACACGATAATTTTCTTCGAGCCAATTTACTTGTTCCTAAGCGGCAGGCGTCAATTGCGTAATTGGACACGATGGACGGAATACAAAATGTACCATGCGTTCTCCGACATATATACATAATTCTCTGGGTTTAAAATGTTTTTTAGGTGTTTGGAATGCTATTGCAAGTGTGAAACCCAATTAATGCAATTGAATATTGATATCGCTCGTCTAATTCGATCGGGGGATAAAAATCTACCGAAAGAATACTTTTTTTACCTGTTACGATGAACGTTTGTGACATGACTGACTACGGAAGTTTATATATTTGAATTTTTATAGAGAAATTCGAGACATAAATGTCCGTAGTTATATGT